ACAAGCAGCCCTCCGGCCAGCCGGCGGCCAACGGGCTGTCGGGGGCGGGCCTCGCGGCGGGGGCGGAACTGCCGCCGTACGCCCACATGAACGGGGGACGCAAAAACGAACGCGCCATGCCACTCCCGCAGTCCTCTGCCTGCTGATTGGACAGGGACACCCACCGGTCTGCAACCCCTGCCAGGACCCTGATGTCTCAGCGGGTGGGATATCTCTTCTGTTCTTTTTTCTTTTTCTTTCTTTTTATCACATGCAGCAAAACCATGACCACCAGCTAGCTTGGCGTGACTACTCAGTGAGGAGCAAAGACTCGCAGGAAGGTGGAGAAAACTGTCACTATACGTGCATGTTCTGCTGTACCTCCACACATCTTTTTCATATTCTTCTAGTTTTGGTTTCTACCAGCTGGCAGTCAGACGCGACACTGCCGTTGCTGCTGAGTGGGAAAGACCAACAAAAAAAGAAACATAATTTGAGGGGAGATCTTTCCCGCTCTCTTTCCGATTGAACCTATTTTATGGATTGTTTTGGGTTTTTTACATGCATTTTCAGCTGGGAAAAACAGGCTGTGTGGGCCTGTATAAACCACCGGCGTTGTGGTCGCTTTTGAGCGGGCATTATGGTCGAAATGTTAAGCATATCTAATGGAGAAGCACTTGAGGGAGGTCGGCGTTCAGTAGTCTCGTTGCTCTGCGGGCTGGGCGTCGGCGTAATACCGGGGTCAACAGAAGGGGAGAAAGGTCCAATCTGCCAAAATTGTTCTTCTTTTTTTGGTCAAATTCTCAACTTTTTCCCCGTAACTCTCCGGATTAAAAACAAAAAAGCACTTTGATCTGCTACCACGTTATTCTTAAACAATATTAACTTCCCTCTACAGTCTGACACTACTCCTCATTGGCTGTTGCTACAGCTACTCGACTCTGCAATCAATTTGACGTTGTGGCTGCAAAAAGTTGATCTGAAATTGAGTCCTCTCACAAAGTGCCGTTCAGTCACGGTTAATAATCGCCAAATTCAATCAATAAAAAGAGGGGGGGGGTACAAAAGTCAAATCTGAACTCCAGGTCTATATGGTCTCTCTATCGGGGGTTTGCTCCGAGTTCAGAGGCGTTCTTGCCGTTGCACACAAACTGTTTTTTTTTTAGACTTTGTCATTAGTCTCCAATATTGACGGCATCTCTACATGGGCAGAGCATTTATGTACGCACCAGTTGTTTGTGTCACTTTTCTAACTTTTCTACGGTTGGTGACATTTGTCATGTACAAAAAGAAAAAAAGCTGCTATTCCTTATTTCTCTTGTGGTTGTTAAATAGTTCAAATCTATATAAATATAAAAAGAGAAAAAAAAACCTCCTTGAGGTTGGCTCTACGAACGTTTCCACTACAGTCCCTTTTTTTTTGTTGTTGTTTTTTTAAATGCTTGTAATTGTGTGGAAGTGTATCCGAGCTGGTTTCGTGTCTCGCGTCTACGTAACGGTACGACAGTCTGCCTTGTGCTCTGAAACACCGGAGACTTCCCCCTCCCGTCCGTCGGGAGGACAGCGATGGTAACCAATGATCCAGAGGTCAGAGGTTGGGCATCACTTCTGAGTCCCAACTAAATCTCAGGTCAAGAAGAAAAGTAAAATCCTTTTCTACTTTCCTTTTTGTATTTTTGTGCTGTCATACACAGAGACATCTAGCCTGGTGTGTGTGTGCGTGCGTGTGTGTGTGTGTGTTAACCTGATTCTATGTCCCCGTCACTCTGTTATTTCATTTTCCTTGATCACTAGTCAAGAGCAGCGTTTCGTGTGAAACCAGAAGGGTCCCTGCATTAACTGTACAGAGCCCCAACACTGACAAAATCTAACAAAACAACTGAATACACTGATAAATAATACTGTTAGTTAATTAGGATGGATGTGCTTTATGCTTTTTTTCATTTGACCTCCAATCAGTTGGTTTATAAAGACAAAAGATTTTAGATAAATAGAAGAACTCATTGGGGGGAAATGGAAACAAAACCTAAAGCTTGATTTTTGTTTTTACTCCATTTTGATTATTTAACTAACAATATTATTTATTGTTATATACAGTAATGTTTAATGATGTTTACCACATTTTGTCAGTTTCAGGCCTCCATGTCTTTGTGCTTTGTAAAAACAGAGTTCAAAGTACAAATGATTGCAAAACAGAATCTCTTCAATGTAGCCTTAAACTCTTATTTTCAGTTTCACTTCCTGCTAATCAACCTCTCTCTAATCAAGGGTGGTTTCCTGTTTGCTTCTGGAGTTATCCACACTATTTATCTTCTTCCTTTTTCACATTGTTAACACGTGTTCGTAGACCAAGTTAAAAGGGTTTGAGAAATACGTGGGATTATCTTTTTTTTTTTTCAGATTTAAGAAGGAATAAGTTTTCACAACCGAGGACGACTCGTAAAAGCAACAAATGCTCACTAACCTGAACATGTTCTCTTTTATTACAATGCTAAATCTAGATCCAGCAAAGGTTCGCACTGGTTCTACATCTGAGCGTTAGAAAGGTTGACTGAAGAAGTACGATCAGAGAGGACCACACAGAATAACCTCAAACTGTTTGGATTCCCAGCCCAGATGTTATTTATGTTATTTTTGTTAAATGTAAATCACTGTACAAATTCCCCTCGGTTTTTTTCCTCTTAATATTTTGATTTATTTTTTTTTTTGCTATTTCGGGGGACGATTTTGTTTATTCCTTCAACCATCCATCTACCTCACTTTTTTCTTTTTTCAATCTATTTACATGTACAGAAAAACAGAACGTGTCATCTCCGTTGTCTGTAATGACGACTGTACTGAGTGCTGTTAATACGGTTAAAACTCAAACCACAACCTGAGCACTGAGCCCAGTTTGTGCCACACGTCACGTGCATCTTTTTTTTTTTTTTTTTTTTTCTAAAAATGAATACAGAGTGAACCCTTTAAAAACAACTGCTTGGTCATTTAATAGCACTTGCTGCTGTTCTGAGGGCATTTCATTCTGGAACACCCTTTAGTCGCAGGGTGAAGTGCTGCTGGACTCTGATGTGATGGTTATTAATGCACGAGAGGCACAAACTGCGAGCGCACATGCCAATCCACTCTGCTCGTAAGAAGGGACGGTGCGGTCTTCAAGCAGTGAGCGAGTTACTAACCGAAGACTATTTATCTTCTGGCTGGATCTCGTGTCTCAACAAACATTCTGCTGTATCTTTTCTCACGCATTAGGAAAGAAATGGGAGGCGCGCGTATACACACAGGACTGCGAGTCCACCGCGCTTCCTCCATGTGGTCAGTGTGACCGTTTCCTCTCCACTCCGAATACGTGGACTTCTTGTGGGATCTGTGTGTCTAGTTGGGGACAGTTTACACCGGTTATCTTTCAACACAACAACCCGCATCACAGGGCTTCTTCTTTTGTTTTAAATGTACAATCGGAAGCTGTTTGTTTCTCATGACTAATGAGTGGAGTTAAAGATGTTTCGTGCGTTGCTTCCGCAGCGGGCCGGTCGGTGCTGACATGAGGTGAGGATGGGTATTTCAGTGTTTGTGGTCTGATGTTTTGCCTCACTTGTACCACTGGAGCAAATCAAATAAATTAGTTCTGCACCCGCCCCCTTCTTTTTTTGTTACATCGATGGCCAATTTGTTACCACGATTTTGATGTGCGTAAGTTATTCATAGCCTTCCAGCTCCTGCGTGTTTCTATTGAAATGATCTGTTCAGATTGAAGTTTCATTTTTGGATTTCTTTTGTACATGCTGTTATAAGATTTTTTTTATTTTTATTTTCCTGTCTATATTTTCTGAGTACTGGGGGGAAATGATTAGCTGGAGGAAGGGAGATTGTCTGTCTGTTTCCCTTGATTCTTTTTTTTTTCTACACGAGATTTAAGATTAATAAAAATGTATGCAAACTGTTTCACTGCTGGTCTTTGTTGGGACGTGTGTATTGTTTGTGCTCCCGCCGCCATATCGAGCCTTTTTGCCTGAAGGGAAGGGTTCAGTTCTATGATGCCGGATAGTTAGGGGAATATTAATGCATCATATCTCACCTGTTTTATTTTGTGAGTCAAATATGAATTGCAACTAAACCAGCACGTAGAACTTTAATGTTTTCGTCTGAAGGCCTTTTTTCAGTTATATTTCAGTATATAATGAGTTATATTAGTAACATAATTAAATATTTTTCATATTCAACATAATCAATCTAGATGTTTGGGGCCCCTTTAGTTGGGGGTGTACGTAGTGTGTGAGGGTGGACGACTGGTCCTGGCTACTGAAGAGATACTGTGATATCCAAAAACATAAATGCCCTTTATACAATGTCTGCAGTTACAAGTTACTACTCTGCAGCATAAGAAAACAATTACTATGTATACAAAAAAAGTACTCTTTATGCTCTTTTTTTAGTGTGTTATGTTATTAGAGTATGATTAACATTAACATGTAAGCAGCATTTCAATGGTTGAGGTCATTTTTCCTGCTTTAATTACTGTTGGGTGTTTTGACCTTTAACAAAACTACCTATTATATAAAAAATGACCACATAATTCATTTTTGCAATGGAACCTGCAACTAGAACTGTCAAGTCAATGTAGTGGGGGAAAGTCAAATTGTTTCCTTCTAATGTAATGTAGCTCAAGCATAAAGTAGCAAAATTCAAGTACCACAAAATGTTACCTCTAGCACTTCAATACTTGAGTAAATGTACTTACTTTACACCTCTTCGTGAGGGGTGTATGTCGTTGATGTTGCAGTTTAACGATGAAACAGCAGGCGGCAGCAGCGAGGCGGTCTGCAGTGAATTTAGAAAGAGAAGAAGAAGAAGACGAGCGTGACGCCTCACGTTGTTTACGACCCGACGGAGCACTGTTGTTGCTGCTCAACAGCCCCTTGCTTAGCGTCAGCTTACAAACATACATTAGGGCGGTGTCACGTGCATATGTGGAAAATAAAGTAGGATAAAATGCTCCCGCAGGATTAAGGTAAATAACTGCTCTCTGTGCGGCGTTTTGTTACCTACAAGAATGTGCTAATAGCAGCTGCTTAGCTAGCATGCTAATGGAATGACAGATATAAACACAGACGGGCTCATTGAAAGCTAGCTTGCATTAGCACACCGCTAGCTACAGGCTGAATTGTGTTGTTTTTTGCCTCATACAGCGACACCGTTTTTACAGAATACACACAGAATCAGAAATATGGGTTCATTTTTGGCTCTGCTCGACACTAATATCCCTCCGCTGTATGTGTGCCTGCGCACTATTTACTAGAGTTACGCATGGCGCAGAAGCATACAACTCACTGGGTACGAAAACGTTTTGGTTTTAATAATCCTGTTGCATGCTGTATTATTCTTGTTTTTGTTCTCAGCTGCAACGGTCAAAGCCCCAAACGCTGCTGTGTCCTGACGTCGCTGTTCATCTGCTCTTCGTTCAGGAAACAGTGATGCCATAGAGAAAGGAGGCACAGCCAACTCTCCTCCGCCGAGGGGAGGAGAGGTTTCATCAGAAATGGCAGCTGAACTCCATGAAGCTATTTTCGTGGCCAAGCAGGAGCGCCACAAAAACCTGTTCCTGAACTACAGAAACCTGAATCATTTCCCTGTAGAGCTGCTGAAGGATGAAGGCCTGCAGTTTCTGGAGAGACTGTACATGAAGAGGAACTCGCTCACGACGCTGGTATTCCTGTGCAGCACATGCTGACTTTGCATGACTCGAGACCGCTTTGCAAATGTTTTAGAAGCTGCGTTAGTTCAGCGGGGCATTTACACAAGTTAATGTTCTGTTTCTCTCTCTCATCAGCCTGACAATCTTGCTCAGAAGCTCCCAAATCTAATTGAACTGTGAGTATCCAGCAATGCTGTGTTTTCTTTAACAGTTGTTATTTGACAGAACAGAGTTGCCTGAAACGTTCCATGACATAATACTGGCTGATGTAACAGGAGAGGTGGCTGGTGAACTGTGAACTCACGACATGTGTTGTCATCTTTGTAATTTGCGCAGAATGAGGCTGTCTGATGCATTCCTAAATTGTAACGCTAACGGACTATTATACTTAGAATCATGGCCAAAAGTTAACTCCAGAACTACATTGACATGAAAATAAAAGGCCTCCCACACATTACCTGAGATCAAATAGTTTGGTCCATTCAAATTGTAACTTTTTTTTTTCCTTTTAAGGTATTTGCACTCAAACAACCTCGTCATTATTCCTGAAGGTAAGTCCTCTGATCCCTTTGTCACTTAGCTTTCACTCAACAGCATTTGACTTCCTGGCTTTGGTGAAGTCTTTATGGCCAAAGACATCTGAACACTAAAACACAGATTTAAAGTAATTCAACAATATTAAAATCTCTCAAAGTTTAAGAAAAAGATTGAGAGAAACTAAACGAGCAAACAAACCAAAGCCACAGTAATGATAAAGATAAGATGCTCAGGCTGTTGAAATCAAGCACAACACACATTCATTTCTTAATACTGATATGACTGATGTAAAATGTGCTGGTTAAGTTTTGTCTTAACCAAAACTGTGGTTTTCATCGCCAGCTATTGGAAACCTGGCCAGACTGCAGTCATTGGACCTGAGCAACAACGCCCTCCAGTTCCTCTGTCCAGAGATTGGCCGACTGAGGTCTCTACGGCACCTGAGACTCTCCAATAATCATCTGAGATGCCTTCCTCCAGGTGAAACACAGCAGCTGTCAGTCTGTCATTTCCTCCTCATGGTCTTCAAGTGTGATTATGAAAAACACCGTTGAAATTGAAGTTGTTTTTTTTTAGGACTGCTGTATTAAAACTGACAAAACATCAGATCAATCATACGGTAAAGTCAAGAAAAAGATCTACACGGATATACTGTACATCTTAATTGTATATCAAATATATGTTTATAGATATGTATTACACGTTTGTTTTTGTGACACCCACATACGAGTCTCTAAATGGCAACACATTTATACTTCATTCACGGTATTCAAGACAAGTCAAGACATTTTACTTGTAACATTTCCCACTAAGTTATATTATTGTTATATTTGTTGGTGATTGTCAAGTTTTAGTTTTTTTTTCTTGTGAGAACAGCCGTCTGAATGGAGTTGTAAGTATTTAATTTGCCAGCAGGGGGCAATAGAGCTTCTCAACCAAACTGAACCGGATAGCAGCGTCACTGTCCTCATCAACAAGATGGAGCTTGTGTCTTTAATGCAAATGTGTGTCCAGATGATTATGTTTTCATTTCATTTGATTCTGGAGGATTAACAAAAACAAGTGTTGTTCAACTTGATGTTTTAATAGCGTGCTATTATTTAAAGTTTTCAACCTCAGTACATTTTGTGAATAATTCAGAAACATTGGTGACCGTTTGCCAATTTTTTTTTGTCACGTTTCACTGCATTTAAAGCTCAGTCCGATGATGAAAGGTCTCGGGTATTTCTTTTTTTTGAAATGGCCGACATCTAACCGGTAAAGACTGTTGCTCGTGTCCCACCTTCAGAGATCGGAGATCTGCAGGACCTGGAGACCCTGGAGGTGTCCATGAACCAGCTGATGTCCCTCCCGGACCGGCTGCACCGCTGCGCTTCGCTGCAGAACCTGACAGCCGACCACAACCTGCTGGGCCACGTTCCCCGGCAGCTCTGCTGGCTGCACCGCCTCAACCAGCTCTCCATGGCTGCTAACCGGCTGACCTTTCTCCCGCTCGGTCAGTAATGCCCCCCCCCCCCCCATCTGTGTGTGGCCTTAGCGATGTAGATACTGTGAGCGAGGTAATGTTAATATCTGTGTGTGTGTCTGACAGATCTGGGCCGATCACGAGAGCTGCAGTTTGTGTTCGTGGACAACAACGTGGACCTAAAAGGCCTTCCCTCCTACTTGTATAACAAGGTCATCGGCTGCAGCGGGTAACACAGCTTATCAAAGTTTGGGTTGCGTGGTTGTGCGCCGTTCATTTGACTTGGATCACTTCAACTTATTTAGCCAGTTTGAGTTACTTTAGCTCTACATTATTTAGATAGTGGAATCCAATTTTACATAAGTAAAAATCTGATGGAAACACCATAGAAGAAATTTAGCTACACAACGTTGCATGTGAGATTACAAAAACAAAAAAAAAATCAGCGTGTCGCTCCCGTGCAGGTGCGGCGTGTCAGCGCACGGGTTGGCGGGCGACCCGGGGGAGGCGCCGGGCGAGGCGCTGAGTCGGGCTCTGGTTGGGCTCCCGGCCGAGGTGAAGGTGGTGGGCTCAGAGGCGGACAGCGTGGTCCCCCTGGAGGAGATCGCCATGAGAGCCCTGCACCGCATCTACCACCAGCGCCCGACAGGTGAGGAGCGCTGAACACCGTATAGATGTATGAATGTGGCCAGCTGGGCCTCTCTGACAGAATAGACTCTAACCGACACTTAGCTTTAGCTTATTGGCACTGTTGGTTATTTGTTTACACTGAGCAGCTGTCAGCCTCTGACAGTAGGCAGCAGGGGTGTTGAGATTTACCGGTATTGGTGGTAACCAGGATATTATAGCAAATATAATGTTAATGATGCACATGAGATAAGAACTCATGTTCCCCCCACAAGTGATTTTGTTGCAGTTGACATTGAATTGATGGCAGATGTTCGGCCTTGTGGATGATTTTAGTTTTGTTTGTTTTAAATGATTTCGGCCACAATAATCGTGAAAATCTGCTATTGTGAAAGCTGTGACTCCACTTCAAAGCTTGGAACTGTATAAACATAAAGTCAACTGAGAAACAAAAGAAAGTCGAACAACAATAAATGCACCAAACAAGCAAAATGAAAACACCTCTCACTGGAGATTCCACTCCATCAAGTTACATAAAATAACTTAGTTCTGACTGCTTCTTTTTTATTTTTAGACCTCAGCTTGCTGCCTCCCATCACCCTCCCCAAGAGCCTGCTGGACCTGCTGCAGTTCCCCCTGGGACACTGCCATCGCTGCAGTCAAACCATGTTCACCATCATCTACCCCAAACTCTTCCCCCTCCGTGACACGGCACTGGCAGGCGTGCACCGCAGGTCAGAACAAGCGCACCCCGCGTTCCCTTTGAGGTTGCCTAAAGAGCCACGGCAGAACACTGACCGCCACATGTAGAAACCTCCCTCTTTATTTTTTCTCTATGAGTTATGAGCCGTCATCTTTCTCACCGATTAATTTTTTCCTTTTTGAAGGACGACGGTGAGTTTTGTGGCCTACTGCTGCTCCAGTCGCTGCCTCCGGACCTTCGACCTCCAGGGATGACGTCGTTTCCTCTGCCCTGCACACGTTCGCTCGGGAGCTGCCGAGCGGTTTCCAGAAAGGCGGCAGGTAACGGCTCATAGTTTGTGTGCATTCGGGGGGGGGGGGGTGAGCTCTGCGCTTCGGCAGCGGTACGAAGAAAGAACCACGATGAAGATGTCCGGCGGGACGGACGACGGACACGTTCGGCGAACGTTTCAAGTGCAAGACTCAAAACCTACGTGATGTTCCTGAATCCAACCAACAGGGAGGAAAGTAACACTCTGTGTGTTCTGGGAGGTCTACATAATAACTACCATGTGTGAGGAGTAAACTTAAAGTATTAGACCTGAAGTCACTACTAACAAAAGGGCACTTTGTAAGAACACGCACTGTTTGATTTTTGATGAAATCTGCCATTTTTCACACAGGTTTATTGCAACAGACATCCCGTTGATTGTGGAGTCATATTCGAGGTATTAGTCTTTCTAGTACAAGGGGGGCGAGGGGCAACGTGCATCTATTTCACGTGTCATTTCCAGCAGCAGGCACAGAGACGTAATACAAAATATGAAGGTGTTCATAAAATCAGTAAAACAGAGTTTGCAGCGTCAGTCATTTTGGAAAGGTATCCATTGTTTTATAAATGCGACTGCTGTTGGAACAGGATTTGCTATGTTATTAACATGCTAAAAACAAATGTGTTTTTATCTTTGCATTAACCTAACTGTGGTGAAAGATTAGCATGAACCCAAAACGATGGAACAGGTTTAAACGTCTGAGGTCAAAGGTCTCTGTCGGGAATCAGGTTTGTGCTCATCAGAGGTTCTCACGTTAAACTGATGCTCGTGTGTTAATGTTCATTACTGTGTTGTACAATTCTAATTTATCTTTTGTTTTTGATTGTGTTAAGTTTGGCAGTAAATGTTGACTGATTATAACATCTTTCTGTGAATTTCTATCTCTTTTTAATTTTTTTTATTTATTTTACACCAAAGACGGTTTGTCAGAGCGGAATGCATAAAAAAGGTGTTAATGTGACAGTTGCACATTTGCATGTTAAACACTCGGCCATAGAGAAAGACACTTAACTGCTGTGGGGATTTTAGATAACTCACGCGCTTGGTTGCTTTCTGTGTCCTCCGTCAACGAGGGGTACTTCTCAAGTCTCTTAATTAACTGTCGTATCCTCGCTTGAACCGGAAGTTCTGCGCCGCAATATTGACGGCCGTCCCAATGCTCTTATTTAGCTCGGAGGATGGAGGAGGGACCTCGGAGGAGCCATGAGCGAGGAACCACGACAACAGACTTCCAGGAAGTCTTTTAACGGCCGACACGCCCCCTCATTGTTCATCAGTCATGTGATTGGACGCTGCGGCCGATCGGACTGACTGACTGAGTTTGACACCAGAGTGAAGACGGATCAGAATAAACTCGAGCTTTATATTTGATTAGGTTTCTGATTCACCGTCTGGTATAAATAAATGTTCATTGTAGGTCTGAACAACAAAAGGACCACGAACAACTTTCTTAATTTATTAGAAAGATTTGTCTTAGAAAGATCTGATATTTCCCTCAATAACTTTTATTATGAAAACAATTAAAGTGAGAGAGAGCTGGAGAGACGAAACACTTTTTACATCATTTATCATCATTTCATTCAGTCACGTGAGGCGGATAATTTCTGAGTGATGAGTTATATAATTTAAGAGAAACGATCATATTCTGGGTTATTTAATAATGACGTCACAATTTCAAAACGTATAGACGCAAATAATTCATAAATAAGATGATCGCATTCCGCCGGTAGAAATCGATCCTGCACTTATAAACAGAACACAGTTTGTAAACAGACTACAGAGAGACAACACCTCTACAGTGGTGATAACTGTCTTTATTAGTATTATTAGATACTATTAAGTACAGTGATCATGTGAACAGACACAAACTTATCAAAATTCTCTCCAGCTGTTAAAGCCGACTGACAGCTGATCCAGCTGTGATCAGCTGATCCTCAGTCATCAGTAACAGACGTCGCTTCACGTGACGCAACTGAGGAAAGGACGTCTCATGTCTCTTAAAACATATTTCCTCGTTTCCTCCATGCATCCCTGGTGGGAGGGACTAAGACGCAAGGAAAGGACGCAAGTGAGGGAAACGGCCAGGGATGCAATTAAGAGACCCGAGGAGACGCGTATAGTCGTCCGTGGGTCTGGCCTAACCACACTTTGTAGCGTCGCTGACCGTCTCTCCTGGAAGTCTGGCAATCAGAGACACTTATAGCTGTTCATGTCAGTAGGTCAGGACGGTCGAGCTCTTTGGCTCTCCTGTGGGATGCAGAACGAAACACACATCCTGGCAACAGGCTTCATCACACGCACTACCTACACTCCTTAGACTCTCCTCTCCTCATATGTTGTTTGTGTCAAGGAATTATTGTTACGTGTGTATCAACAGCTTTCTGAAATACTGTCTGTGAGTGATAATAGAGGGCTGTGTAGCAGGAGGCACACAGCGGCAGCGTCACCAGGATCGATGGCGTGTTGAGATGATCCTCTCTGGCTGGAGCTCCAGCTCTCTGCCCTCCCTCTGGGAATATCGCATCTCTGCTGACTGCACTCACGAAACACCGATTCACTGCAGCATGTTTACATGAAAATGTATGGCACACAAGCCACACACACGGGGGGGTACTTTTTAATTGCATCCCCGTTTCCCTCACTTGGGTCCTTTCCTTGCGTCTTAGTCCCTCCCAGGGATGCATGGAGGAAACCATGCGAGGAGCGAGGAAACGACAATTAAGAGACTTGAGAAGTGGGCCTACCCACAGACAAAACATGATGAAAGTTATAAATACAAGATCTGCACCCAATGAACAGAAAATGCACCCATTAGTCTATTTACTCTATCTATAATGTTAGCCATACCAATGATAATGCATTACTTTTGCTATCAATTTCAACCCCTTATCTGTCCATTTCACCGTGTATCCTTCTTTTAGCTTTTTTTCAAAGTTGGTTGGGAATCACTGCATGTGGTGAGAGCTCCAGGCAGCACCGCTTTTTCTCTTTTTGATGCAAGCTGAGTAGGCTGTTAAACTAATAAATTACAACATTTTAACAGTGATTTCTCTACAGATATGGATTATCGTGGGCCCGGTATTGTTGCAGGTTTTTGTTAGCACCCAAGTCGGCAAAGCAGCTACTGTGTGTAGCTGTTGAGTGGAGCCCGTGTTGTGAGACACAGCATGCAGCAGCTCAGTCGTTTCCTGTGGTAGAGCGCGAGGGGTGACTGACAGACTGAACAACAGCCGGCTGGAGCGCATGGAGATGTCACACGAACTGTGACAAGTCACGTCATGATCACAGAATGGTCATTTCTGGGGGAAGTGTATAGTATGTTCACTGAAAAAAAAAAAAAGCTTGTGATTCTGTTCCCTGTTCACATCTCAAATCTGTCGCGCTCCAATCGGTGGCTTCACAGCGAGTGAGATTAATTGCGCTGTTGGATCATTAATGTGGGAGGGAGGTGTGTAAGGGCTGGTAATGATCTGAGCCACGCGCGGCGCAGACGGTCGATCCTTCTGCAGATCCTCTGTTGAGCCGATGTCTTTTATACGACCCGACGGGTTAACTGGATGTTCTGCTGTTAAAATAAATAAATGTCAGTGTGGTGTTTATCTAATGGCAGCAGTGATGAGTGTTCAACAGTCACATGTGTTGAACTGGGAGGTGAGAAACAGCCGCACAGAGACTGAGCGGAGAGTACATCCGTCCTCACCTCTGCATGTCTCTGACATTACCTCCCTGACATGATCTTTCCGGAGTCGCAGTTTTTAATGAAGGCACTGTGTCTCTGACCTTTGACCTCCCGAGTGCAGGCTGCTTTATAAAAGAGTTCCATTTCAGCTGCACTCACTGTACACAGCTGCAGAAGTAAAGGTCACACAGGACACAAATGGTTAACCATCGGGCTAAAATTTCATACCAAAAAGACAAAAAACAACAACAAATGTCAATGTTTCCAACTAACTGGCCGAGAAGATACTCTCAAGAAACTGATTTATGAAATGATCGTGCTGCGTTTCAGGCCCAAAAGGCTGTTTTTGTAATGATTCTCCTCAGTGGTTTTAATCTATAATTCATCACATTCAGTTCAGAGAAAGAGCCCGTCGTCCTTCTTTAGTTTGGTTCCTGACAGTTTATTTTTGGGAGTATATTCATGTGTCATTTGACTGACGTGTATTTGATTATGTAATGTCAAGGACTTCGGGGGCAAACAGTGAGGAGGATGTATATGGCCACATATGTGCCCGCTGGGTTGAATATTAAGGGTAAGATAGGTTAAGATAGACTTTATTGTCCCGAAGGAAATTTGTCTTGGACACATACAGCTGTTAAAAAACACAAAAATAACATAGTGCATACATACAGTACATGCACAGACTGCCACCAGCCAACAAATATATTGCACACTGCCCGTCGCACGACACACCTGTAGTCATCGTAATAGTGTACATAATATGTACAGTAAGAGTAGAGCAGTCTCATCAACGTAGAATCATCATAGAAAGCACATGTGTCCAGTTAAGATACAAATCAGCGTTACAGGGGTTAGGCTCTGGCTGCCATTTAGGGCTTTGGTGGACAGGGGGACAAAGGAGTCCTTAAAGCGGTTGGGTCTGCACTGGGGGACTCTGAAGCGTCTGCCTGAGGGAAGAAGCTGGTATTCAGGGTGGAGGACATGGGTGGGGTCTGAAATAATCTTCTGGGCCTGTCTGATGATAGTTTCATCAAAGACAGCCTGGAGTGTGGGATGCTGTCTGACTCCCATGATTTTCATATTTTCAATATTAGCATGCTCTATATTATTGCCATGCAGTGTTTGCGGTGCAGGCTGGGCTTAAAGTGGGATCAGGTGATGTATTTAAGGTAGCAGGTCTGAGATCACTACTGCTCTAATGGAAACCTTGGTCCCCCCCCCCCTCTCTGCGTCACTCACTTCGTCTCTCTCTGTCTCAGTCGCTCACAGTGAATTTTAATGCAGAACTCCAGATTGTATGTATGCCTTGTAATAATGTCCTAAACGTTGATTAATACAGTATATTTGCATTTTATTATACATTTTTAATCAATAGTTCTATTTTATTATTCAGTACTTTTAATGTTTTTCTTACTTATCCTGGTTGAAAAAAAAATGGCTGCTTGTTTTTGAAGCATTTAAAAAGGAATGGGCCGTCTTTTAAAAAAATAATTGAGATAATAAATATATTATTATATTAAAAGTAAAAATTAATACTAGCCTACTTTATTAAAATACTACTTGTATTTTAAGTAATCCCCTCTCTGTCTTTTCTTTTTTTTCTAACTGAAGTTTTTTATTTTGTTTTATCAGTTTTATTAATAAGCAGTCTCAGACGTGACGAACTACTACTGTGTTCTACAGATGCGTGTGAAATCTTGTATCTTTCATCCACCCTGTGACATCAGAGGGCGCGGCCATTTTGTGAGCAGCATCAAGTTAACACAATGAGGCAGAAAGTCAGGTGATTTAACCATCAAAGTAAAAGCCACCAAAATATCCAACAGACACAAATGTGAAAAAAAACCTGAGCAGCACGGGCCTGTTGTTGGTGAGGAAGAATTTTCTAGACGTTTGAGCGCCACGGGGATGTTTCCGTTTAGTCTGTTTTTTGGGATATTCAAAGGTGTTGAATAGCTTTTCAAGAATAACGGATACCCGAAGAGGTGGTGAGTCGGGTTAACTTCCAGTTATTGAAACTGGCATTTAAATGGCAGCTGAAGTTGGGCGGGAAACGGAGCTGGTGGAGAAACTCATCACGCCATAGTACGGTATCTGTAATGCTGCTGTGGCGACGAAATATACGTTTCATTTGACCTCACAGGGAGCTTACTGGATACGGTTTTATTTTGTAAAATATTAACAGGAAGTGTTTGACTTCTTATTCCGTCTCGCTTTACACTTGTTGGTGGAGGAGGAGGCGGCGCGTTTCAACCGGGGACAGTCCCGTTGAGTGGAGCGGCAGCACGGTCGGACATTTTCATCCTGTGACGAAACAAATACAGCAAAATAAAAAGAAGAAGAAGAAGAAGAGGAGCAGTATAAAATAAACAAGGTAGGTCTGACTAGTTTGGCTTTCCTTTAAGTCCACTGTTAAGAAAAAAAAAAATAGAACAACACCACGTGAACTTCGAATTATTCATAAAATATGTGGCTGTCTTGTTGAAGTTTCCACCGGCGACTGTTTGATTGTCTGTTATTAAAGCTAATGTCCTTGCTAATTTTCAAAGCCCACGAAATCATATCTGAAGGCGAAATCAGTGTAAATGTCCCCGTGGTGTTGTTGTAGCACCGATTAATGCGCATTAAGCGTCGCACTTTGCGGCGTTTTCTGTGTCCGTGTTTGGAGGGGAGCTTCCGTCTTAAATATATTACAGGATTAAAGTAGTTGTTTGTTATAAGGATTCAATTAAAGGATAAGGCAGCCTCTGGGAAGCTGTTTCCCTCTCTAAAAGGTCGCGCGGTGAGGCGGACGGTTTCAGCACCGCGGACAGCTCCGGAGCAAACGAGCTCGAGCTGGCAGAAACACACGTGAGCTTCACCAACAAATCAGAGCTGTTGGTGTTGAAATATATGTCAAAGTCTCTTTATTTTTCATTATACAAGCAGGGGGGGGGGGGAGGGTATCTGGTTGTGAAACCAGGCGGAACGAGGCACTCCACGAGCGACAAGAAGAGAACGAGATCTGCCTTTAAGAAGCAAGAGGATTGCGTTGTCACGTTTTGGTCGATGGGAATTTAGATGGACATTGTTTTGCATCGGTCTCTTAGGAGTAGTCATGGCCACGGGAGTGTTGTGATGGAGGAGAGGCTGTCTCTGGCTACGATGGGATGATTCCCTTTTGACTTTATGTTTACATCTATCTATCTATCTATCTATCTATCTATCTGTCTGTCTGTCTGTCTGTCTGTCTGTCTATGTGTCTCTATCTATCTATCTATCTATCTGTCTGTCTATTTATCTATCTGTCTATCT